AAAAAAAAAAAAAAAAAAAAAAAAAAAAAAAAAATCAGATCAGTATCAGCCAATATGCCTCCTTAAAAAAAATCAGCTATGGGTATTGGCCCCAAAAATCCCTATCAGAGCACCCTTAGTTATAATTTTATCAATTTAATTTTTTTTTGCTAATCCCCTTCTCTTCTTCCTTGTTCCTTTTTTCCTAAAAATACTTTATTTACACTTTTAACATTTAAGTCCCAACTGCTACTTTCCCCAATTGTATTACTTCATAAACGCAATTTAATTTCTTTCCATTATATAATACACCAAGTTATATTTACTGGACTATAGATAACATTTCTTTAAAATCTGAGGTATAAACAAATATTTATGGAAGATATTTAATGAGCTGGTCGCAACATTTTGCCGTGTTGTAAGTTAGTTCACTATCTTTCCTGAAATAATTGCTGCCGTCATGGATGATATACTTCCAGAATAAAGGAGATATTTATATTAGAATGTTCTCTTCACTTCTCCAGACCCAACCAGGACAGAGTTATGCAAGTCTTTTAAAACTTAAAAGATACATACTGCCCATGTAGCTAATTAAACTATACCACAAAAGTGTTAGGATTCATTATCCTCTTGTGGACCCCAAAGTCTAAAAATCAATGAAGAGCCTCACTGATATCAAAAATTTTTGATCAGGCCCCACCAAATGCTTCTTTAGAATTGGGTCTCAAAAATACAGGACATTTGCTCACAAGTACATTTTTCATACTTCTAGTATGTGCTATTCCTTTCACTGGTCTTGAAAACTTCATTTAAATTATGGCATGTTTGTGCCCATTTTTTGATTTAGAGATTTTCAGAGATGTACAATTTGCCTATCATTAGTAAGAGTATCAATGGTCTTCCCTCTTATTTTGGTCATCAATTTGATTACAAATCTTGCCCCCCAGTTTGTGTTCAATTCTCTTTAACACCTATGTTATTAACCTTGAGAGTTTCTGATCTAATTTCTAGGATTTTGTTATTTAAACTTTATCCTCTTTTCCAAACAACTTGAAAAGCTACATTTAATATTTTACTAAGCAACTCTCTTTGGTCTTTTGAATTGTTATGGGAATTATTTTTCTTCATCCTTAATATATCCATTCAAGTTTTTACAGATCACCCTTACTGAGACCGTTTTCTGCTTTCCCTTCATTTTGGCATATGGTCTAGTCAAAGGTTAGACCAGGGGTTGTCAACCGGGGGTACGCATACCCCTGCGGATACTCTGAAAGGTCCCACGGAGTACATGGGGATGGAGCACCACCATCCCACAGCCCTGCTTCCCAGGAGCAGGACCCGGGTTGGGCGAGAGCAGGGCCGCATAGATGCTGCACTGCCACTGCTTGCCATGCCCCCC